GCACCCGCTTTTCTAAGGGATTTGGCGGTCAGGAGTGCGATGGGACCATGGACTTTCGGCATTAGGCATTAAGACTCCATAAGGTGACTGTATTCCGGAGTAATGGTGAATTCAATACAGTAAAACCAGGTGGAGAAAAACGTATCTGCTGAGCCCTTAAGAGAGCTGGTAAGATCCTCCATGCGTTTGATTTAGTTAATTTTATGAAGTCACAATTTGATCGTAGGGGCGATGTTTGCTTCCAGCTTGATGGAATTAGAGCTGCAACAATTATTCGATTAAGTCGATTAAAATCGACGATGGAAAACGTTGTCAACGTTTTCCATCGTCGATTCGTCGGCTAAAATTCAAATTTCCCGCTCGCCACTGCACGCCACGCCCACGTCGGTTAAGCCGCTCGCGCCACGCCTACGCCGGTAAACCCGCTCACGTGACGCCGATAAACCCGCTCACACGACGTCGCTTACGTCACGCCCACCAAACACGCTGAGGACATGCGTCTGGCCCTCTCCTCCCAGTTAGCTTCCCAACTCGTCGCTGCCCGCCGACAACACCGTCATTAAAGGTAAGTCGAGATCGGCCAGGAGCTTTTTAATGTTTCCTGTTTTTTTTTAAAGCGGCACACTGCAGAACATTAGCAGCTATAGAGGAACACCAAATCCCAGCAATAATACATTAAACACCCTGTATAATGTATTATTGCTGGGATTTGTTGTTCCTCTATAGCTGCTGGTGTTCAGCAGTGTGCCAGTGTATTATACATTGGTATTCTGTAGAGCTGCAACAATTATTAGATTAAGTCGATTAAAATTGACGATGGAAAACGCTGTCAGCGTTTTCCATCGTCGATTCATCGGCTAAAATTTAAATTTCCCACTCACGCCCGCCTGTTCGCGGCTCCATACACGAGTTACGCTATGCACGCCGCGGACACCACGCCCACGTCGCGTACCCAACCACCGCACAAGCCGGACACACGACCGCAGAGCACGCCGTCGCCGCTGCAGCATTAGTTCCTCTATAACTGGTCAGTGGTAATCTGCATTGCGCATTATACAGCGCAATGGAGAATACCAGCTATAGAGGACTACAAATCCCAGCAATAATACATTATATACAACGCAATGCAGAATACCAGCAGTTACAGAGGACTACAAATCCCAGCAATAGTTGGGATCCCAGCAATGTTGTACTATTGCTGGCATTTGTTGTATTCCTCCATAGCTGCTGGTATTCTGCATTTCGCCGTGTAATCATTATACAGCGCACTGCAGAATACCACCAGCTATAGAGGACTACAAATCGCAGCAATAATACATTATATACAGCGCAATGCAGAATAACGCCAGCTACAGAGGACTACAAATCCCAGCAATAGTACATTATAGTATAATGTACTATTGCTACGTTCCTCTATAGCTGCTGGTATAACTGTGCCGCTGTATAATGTACTATATTGCACACCACACTTTTTTTTACTTCCACCGCACCAAGCTTGCTCCCGTGATGGACTACAATCTCAATAGAAACTAGTAGTCCATCACTGGAGCCTTTTTTTTGATCCGATTAAATCGAACTTAATAATCGGCAAACTAATTGATTATGAAAATAATCGTTAGCTGCAGCCCTAGATGGCATACATCAGTGGGCCGCATTCACCAGCTGAATGAGGATAGATCACTTGTATCTTTTGAGGGAGAAGTGGTTATGGTGTAACAAAAAAAAAGAAAAAAAAATGCCGGATCCTGTAGTCTCTGTGCATGTCTTCAGCATTTGACACTTCTGTAAGTGCGCTGGGGTTCCCTGCATTGGCCCCCTCCTATGACCTCCATGTCACTGCTGGGAGGATTAGAAGTAGAAGATTTGCCAGATTGAGGCTTAGGCCCTGTTCACACCTTTACGTTTTGTCGCGCGTTCAACGCTCTATGAACGCTCTACAAAACGTACAAACTTGAAAATCCCATTGTTTTCTATGGGTATGGTTCACACCTTTCTGTATTTCAGCCCGTCTGAACGCGCTACAAAACGGCCTACGCCTGAAAAGGTACATGTACTTCTTTGGGGCGTTTTGATTGGGATACAGCCAAGTAGCCCTTGGAAATGCGCGTTTTCCGCACGTTTTTTTTAAACCGCGGATCGCGGTAAAAACGCGCGACGCAAAACGCGCGACAAATGCCCATATTCAATACGCCTAGGTGTGAACCCAGCCTTAGGCTTCTAAACTGTTATTACCAATAATGTCCTTTATTAAATTGTCCAGCAAACTACCATTAAGATGTGTACAATCAAAATGCATGCACAGCAAGCGTTTTTACATTTTTCTGCCCACCAACATTTTAGACACAGATCTTCTTATGTTCAGAGACAGGAGACTCATTTTGGAGATAAGATGGATAATATAAACCAGCCCAGGGAGGGGAGGGGGTTGGGGTCCGGGTAAGGACTGTCACTGGAACTATAGACGGATATCGAAGGTTTGACAGATTGGCATCACAGTCATGGCAGGTTGCATAGCAGGGCCTGCTATTGAAAATAAGGATTTGGAAAGGTGGGATATTGCCAGATCCACAATGGGAACATCCTACTTCTAAAGAAAATCCTCATTAATTGTGTATTAATCTAAAAAGCGTTTGGCAAGAGTAAATATTTTGTCAGAAGTCCAGTCTCCATACAGCACAGGTTGAACTAAGCAGTGTATTGGAAAGTAGTAGTATACGAGCAGACCGCACTATCCAGAGAAATCGAATACTTCAGACTTGATTGAAATTCACAGCAAATCCAGTATAACAGTGAATAAATGTGTATAAAGCAGCAAATACCAGCACCGCAAACCCCCAACCAGCTACAACCTCTGACATGTTTCACCTGCAGGCTTATTCATAGAGGTCTATAAATAAGCCTACGGGTGAAACATGTCAGAGGTTGTAGCTGGTTGGGGGTTTGCGGTGCTGGTATTTGCTACTTTATACACTTTTATAACTCATACTGGATTTGCTGTGAATTTCAATAAAGTCTGAATTATTGGAATTCTCAGGATAGTAGGGTCTGTTTGTATACAGTTACTACTACATTCCAAGGTGGAGACGCACCTATTAGACCAGCACCTGGGGAGTCCTGATGGCGGCTAAGGAATTGGAGCGGTGGAATTTCCTTCGGCACTACAGTGTATTGGAAAGGTTTTAATAGTTTGGGGCCTTTTAGACATCCCAGTCTGGTAAAAGCACTAGTAGAAACTACAAGCTGTTCCATTTTACAATATGGATTACACAGCATCGATAAGAGCCGATGTAGTATCTTTTAGCTCTGGAGCTTTTTTAGCTGACTGAAGCTCCTCAGTAACAAACTCTTCTAACATGTACCTGTGAGACCCTTCTTCAGACAGTACATTTACAGCAGATGGCATGGAGGACACTACAGGAATTCCAGGCAAAGACTCTGGAGGTGAAGGTGTAGAAGTACATTTGCAGCCTCTGCGTTCAGTCAGCAAACAAAACTGCAAGTTGGCCCTTAAAATCTATAGCTGCTTATAACCCCCTCTGGATAGGGCAGAGGAGGTGGCCATACCCAACGGAGCCATAGGAGACTCCAAGGAGTGAGATTCCTCAAGCAGGGGACAGCGATTTAGGGCATTAGTGACAGGTCCCTTAGGAGCAATCCAAAGTTGCAGGACTGCTCCCTTTGTGCATAGGATTTGAAAGTTGTACTTTTTAACAGGAACAATGTAAAAGAACACGCCAGGTAAAACAGTGGTTTACTCACAACCAACTGCTTAAGCAGGAGAAGATTAATGGCCGACCGTGACAAGGTCACTATAGGCAGCAGCAAGGACTAAAACCGAGGTGTGAATGCTGTCTCACTTGCAGATAAGAGCAATGGAAGAAAAAGCTACCTCACGCTGAGGAAAAAAGCAAGAATAGAGCAGAGTGTGTATGAGAGACACTCAAGCTAATGACACAGTAATTCATCAGCGAATTAGCCCTTTCTGCAGAAACCAACCAAATAGGGACGTAATAGTGGTGTAGGACGTTACCAATAGAATAGCAGCTTCTGATGCTCAGCTGAATGGTGTACTTATTAAGAGAGTCTCCAGAGGCTGTGCTGTGGCTAGACTCTGCGGCTAACACACTACTCAAGGGTCTAGGAAGCACCACTGGCAGAGTCCAGTTCCCAAAAGTCACATTCCAAGTAGGCCCTGACATCTTTGGTCCAGTGGGATCTTGATACAGCCTCCAAGGCAATGCCAATGATTAGCCTGGATAGCTGCACAAAGAGCCCGGCTCAGAAGCATGTAGAGGGTGTCTTTAGTGTAGTGCATGTAGAGTGGCTAAAACTTATAAAGACCATAAAAATGTATAAAGAGCAAAAAAATTTTTTTTTAAACAAAAAGCATATATATGGTGCAAACTCTGGGACCTTCAACCAAAAGGCATATGTATTTTGAAATCACACGACCCTTTACACACAGGTGGACCGAGACCCTGTCAGGTTTCTTCTGAAACGGTTATTCCTGCAAAAACAGATGATGGGAAGGGGGTTTAACACCGCGGATGTCAACTGGTTAACTAAAAATGTTCCACCCTGCTCCGTCGAATTCCTGAACAAAGGATGCCAGATGGAATGGTGTGCATATTTCGGCAAGTTTTTGATGAACCTTCCAAAATTTGCACAATGTATGCTCAGCTTTACCGCACTCTCCAAAATAAAAGTATTATTTTATAATGGGTCTATTTAGAAACATTTCCACACAAGATTCACAAAACTTTCACTGGGGATTCTCACTTGGATTCAATAAGAGACATGTGTGATTTTTGGGTATTTCACAGAACAAAAAGGTAAATGGTTATGCAATCAGGGCATTTTAGTTTATTTATAAAAAAACTTAAAATATACTTTTTAGATAAAACAGAATACAGTGAATAAATATAACATTGTTCATATTTAATACATATATTATTTCCTCACATTCCTGCTTCACATATTCAAATTTTAAGTAATCTAACCTTGGCTATTTGGCATCCAGCTGACCCAACTCCACCAGAGCAGCAACTATACTGAGTTTCCCAACCTCCAGGTGCTATAGTAAAGAACAAAAATATATTATATACACACACACAAATTACATATATTTATAAATACATAAACATATACAGTATTAGTCTCCTAACGATAACAGTTTGCATCCACTATTGCTATATCATACAGACTACTTTCCAAATAACACAACACCATAGTCATTTCTAGACAAACACAATCCAAATAACATCTCCCATTAACCTTATTTCACACATCATTCTTCATTTTAAAACAAGCTTTATAATTTTGCTCACACACAATCTTATATTAATGCATTTTCAGAACCCATTATTCTCACACACTGTTTGCAGATCACTCTGCCCCTTCATGATTCAGACGGCACCTCTCTGCCTTCTAAGACGGCCCCAGTGATGAACACATTCCTCTTGTCGTATGCAACTTCCACTTTGTGTCACCATATACTCTACCCCACATCGACAGCATATCCGGCAGGAGGCTGTTGAATTATAAGAAAAGGTTAGTGTAAATAAAAAATACACATATAATTAACTGGTATTGTTCCAGACTTATTTTAGAAAATGTAGTGCAGGAAAATTGTGTTGTTATATAGTATTGAAACACTGCTTTTATTTTCTAAACTGTACTAGCAGAGAACAGATCTAACCAATATGGTTGCCAAGACCAACAGTCCTGCTTACTCACCAGCTGGGCTTTTCTTTTCCTCTGCTGTAAAAACAACAGCCTTCCCAGGTTTCTCAGGGTGTGCCAAGGGATAACCATGCTCCTTCAGCTGCTCAGGAGTCAGGATATAATGTTTCATCAACTTGTATAATGTTACATCTATGTACAAGGGAATATAAAGATAACATTTTATTTGTTTGAATTATTTCCCTGTTATATGTTTTTAAACCATTGTATGCATACAAACAATCATAATCCAAACCAGCAATTAGTCTACTCTTCATTTCAGCATTTACCTGGAATTCTTGGCAAATTATTTTTCTAGTTTTGGATAGCATTAGAAAAGGTTAGAACCTTGTCTGGTTAAAGAACTCCAGAAAAAAAAAAAATTCTTAACCCTTGCAGTGGGGGCTACTCCCGCACAACAAGGGCTGACGGATAGTTTTTGTCTAGGTGATAAAAAAAAATTATACTCCATGCTCCGAGTCGGCTTGTTCTTAGACTGATCCCTGGAGCCTCTCCCCCCCTCTGCTGCAGTAGTCTAAGGTTCTGTAAATCATCATGTTCTATGCACTGTGTATAGACGTGAGGACGCTGATGAAGATTCCATTACTGCAGCTTAGGAGGCGGCAGGCTGGAGGGAGCGCAGTGACAGCCTGCCAGCTCGGAGCTTCGGGCGAGTATGAAACCTTGGATCAACAATTTCTGATATAAGTACTTATTATTGTTAATAGCCATTCTATTCTGTGCAATTAGGAATGCATCCAGATTTATTTATTTTTTAATCTGCTGAGCTGGCTAGTTACTTAGGGACTCTATTCCACATTTTCACAACTTGGTGAAGAAGACTTTTTTAATATAAAAAAGGTATTAAAACCACTTTTCCTCCCTCTCAATACCCCCCTTTCTACCGCCCTTTCACTTCAGCTAATCTTTCCTCATAGCTGAAGTCCTCTGTGCCTTATCAGTTTAGTTCTTCTCTGCACAGCCAACATCCTAAAACATACCTAAAACAGAACTGCATTAGCAAGACCTCTAGGTTGCTAATGCTTTGTACAGGGTCAAGATCATGTCTCTCTTGTTCTCTGGAGTCTATCCCTTTTTTAAGTATGCTATTATTGAATCTGTACCATACTAGAACACCCAGATAAGTCTCAATTATTGACTCCCCCAATTGAACTTCCCGCTACTGTGTATGATGCTTGCATGTTTTTAGCCCCCAAATGCATAACTTTACATTTATCAACATTAAACTTATTTTTGCCACATAGTTGCCCAATTAACCAGTACATTCAGTGAACACAGGCTTGTAAATCAGGAGAAATTTTGTAAGGACTTTACTCTACTAAATAGCTTTGTGTCATCTGCGAACACAGAAATGGTGTTCTATCAATCCTAAGCTCCTTATCATTTATAACTAGGTTAAACAGTAAGGGTCGCAACATTGTCCCTTGGCATACACCACTAACAACCTTAGACCGTTCAGAGTATAAATCATTAATCACTACTCTCTAAATACAGTCTTTAAACCAGTTTCTGCCCATTTACAGACTGAATGTTTAAGTGGTGGAGTGCCAGGGCCCGGTCGCAGCAACCCTGGTAGTTCTGCCACTGACACCAAGCTGTAGAGGAGCTACAATACCCAGCAATATATTATACAGCAATGCAGAATGATATAAAGCTACATACTCTATGTTGCTCCGGGGTGGCAGCCTGATGTCTCCAGGGTCTCAGGTGGGCTGTACGGGCTGTCAGGGTGGGCTGTGCCGGGTGTTAGGAATCGCTGTGAGGTGTCTCACCAGGGATCCACAGGAAAGAGGAGGAGTAGATGTGCAGCCGTTGCTGTAAGAAGCGCAGCCAGGTCCCCCAGAAGGTGCTTTAAGGTCCCACTCTTGCTGTGAGGTCCCCAGCAAGAGTGGGACCTTAAAGCAGCTGCTTGCGTTTAAAAATGTAAAACGCCGCTATCTGCGCTTAGTATCGGGGTATTTTCACCAGTACGAGTACTGGTGAAAATGCTCAGTTTCGGCACAGATATTGGTGGATCCCTAATTGTAAGACAGTACTGTTCCAGCATTGCCAATACACAAGTCAGTTATAGGGTAGTTAAAATTCCCCCATCATTACCACTTTCCCAGCCATTGCAGCTCTATCTGTGTAAGGGGCCAAGCCTGTTCCTCCTTATTAACACTGAGGGGCCTGTAAAACGCCAATAATTACCTTTGCAGTATGCAAACCAATAGGTAACGTCACCCATAATGCCTCAGCATCATCATACCCTCCATCAACAAGGTCTTCTTTCACACACTTTTACATCACTTCTCACATAGAGACAGATGCCGCCACTTTTTTTGTTTTACCCGGTCTCTCTGAAAGGGAGTATAGCTAGGAATATTAACAGCCTAATCATGTGAAGAACAAAGTCAAGATCCAGCAATACCAATTATATCATAGTGCTCCCCTCGATAGCTTTGGTGCAACTCTACCATCTTGCTTGGCAGACTTCTCTCATTGGTAAACAATGCAAACCACTGCTGCATTTCGCACTTGTATTTACCATATCTTTCGGTGTAGTACAAATGGTACTGTAATCGCCAATTGTTGATGCTGGTATCAAATTCCTATGTCTCCTGAAATCTTCACCTGTCTTATTACTCTATGCACCTAGCATTGGTAGCGTGAGGAATCAATTACTTGCTATGCGGTCGATTACAAGCGTTTACTATTTGTGATATTTGTGAGTATATTTATTTGTGTGTTTTTTATACTCCATTAAACATTATTTCACAAGAAAAGGGTGCACTTCAGTGTCTGCTCCATTATATTCTAACCCCCAACCCCAAATCCAACTCTAACTTTCCCATAAATCTCTACCCTAGCACAGCAGACCCTTTTCCTTTTAGGGGCAAACCATATTAAGTATGCTTGCACCCCAATGAAAAGTTAGCCCAGTGCTCTCGTAACCCAAATCCTTCCATCCTACAATAGGTGTTTAGCCATGCATTTAGATTTATCATCTCCCGCTGTCTTTCCTGTGTCGTGCATGGCACAGGCAAAGGACCTTGGAGGCCCTTCCCTTCAACTTAAAGTGACATTAAACCCTCAGATTTTTTAACATAAACCAATACTGTAATGTGTGCCTTACTGTAATCCATGGTTGTTTCCCTTCTCCTTGCTGCTCTTCCTTTTAAATCCTCATGTCTTCTCATGCTTGGGGAGAACTTCCCTTTTCAGCTCAGGGCCTCTTCCTGTAGTGCTGGCTCAGGTTACAAGCCTATACAAACGTATACACAGACACCGTGTATCCATTCCTGAGACAAGGCAGCCTGCTGCAAAACAGAAGTTCTGCAGAGCATGGGAACAGATACAGATTTAAAAGGAAGAGCAGCAAAGAGAAGGGAAACAACCATGGATTACAGTAAGGCACACATTACAGTATTGTTTTATGTTAAAAAATCTGAGGGTTTAATGTCACTTTAAGTATAAAGGTAAGAAAAAAAAAGCAGGTAGGCCCAATAAAAGATGAAAACGGGAGATCAATCACAAACAAATCGGAAGAAGGCTGAGGCATCAAATTAATTTTTCTCCTCAGTATACACTCAGGAGAAAGACGGGTGTAATGGAGATAAGAATGTGAGTAGCTCAGTGCGTAAAATACCACAGTGATTGACAGTAGCTCAACAAAGACTTGATAAACTTAATGCAAATAAAAATCAATAGGACCAGATAACCTGCACCCCAGGGTACTTAAAGAGCTTGGCTGGGTTATAGCAAGACCATTATTCCTTATTTCCCATGACTCAATGACTGGAAGGGTACCAAGTGAGTGGCGTAAAGCAACGGTATTACCGATATTCAGAAAACACTCAAGATGTCAACCTGGGAACTACCGACAAGTCAGTCTAACATCGATAGTATGCAAATTGTTTGAGGGAATGATAAAGGACTATTTAGGGGATTTTGTTCGTAACAAAAAGGTATAAGAAGTGAAAATCAGCATGGATTTATGAAGGACCAAAAACTACTAAAATTCTACAAAGGGGTGAGTAGAGATCTGGATAAAGGAAAAAAAACAGTGGATGTGGTGTACCTGAATTTTGCAAAAGCATTTGACACGGTACCCCATAAACACTTAATACACAAGCTTAAATTGATGGGCATAGATGAAATGCTGTGTACATGGATAGAGACCTGGCTACAGGAACATGTCCAGAAACTATTGATAAATTGCTCTTCAGATTGGTCTAAAGGTCAAGAGTGGCATGCCCCGGGGTTCTGTGCTAGGCCCCATATTGTTTAACCTGTTTATTAATGATATTGGTAATAGCCATGTTTCTGTGTTTGCAGATGACACTAAAATTGGGAGGGTAATAGACACGGACTTTGACATTATAACATTACAGGAGGACCTGGATAAAATAGGGGAGTGGGCATCCATTTGGCAGATGAGGTTTAATGTTGATAAATGTAAAGTAATGCATTTTGGGGTTAAAAACAGGCAAGTGGAATACGTATTAATGGGAACTCCATTAGGGAAGTCAGAAATGGAAAAAGGTCTGGGGGGCATTGTAGACCACACATTGAATAATAGCTTTCAATGCCAGGCTGCGGCAAACAAGGCTAGGAGAGTACTGTCTTGTATTAAAAAGGGAATGTAATGGAGACAAAGCGATAATTTTGCCACTTGGGATTAAGTCTTTTCCCCATAGTTCTCCTTAGGGTAACGGGAGGACACAAACTAGCGTCCTCCCGTCACCCTAGGCTCAGTATACCGCGAGCTACAGCTCGCGGTATACTGAGACGCCGCAGCTGAAGCGGATCCCGACAATTGTGCCGGGATCCGCCCAGCTGCGTGACTGACAGCTGGCTCTGCCTATCTAGAGGCAGAACCAGCTGTACCCGCCCCCTCCTCTGTCCGTTCCGCCAGTCAGCGCTGGCGGATCGGAGGGGGGAATCCAGCCCCTCCCCTGTCACGGCAGAGAGCCGTGACAGGATCGAGAGGTGAGCGAACCCCGGTAACTGTTCACTCACCTCCCGATCTACTGAGCCGACCTGTGACAGTCTCATTGTCACAGGTCGGCTAGAACTATGAAGTGAGTGAAAAGCACTCACCTCATAGTTCTCCTTTAAGGGGCTGGAGGACCAAAGCTATGAGACAAGGT